TACGCGTTCCGCAGCTGTAAAGCGCGTACGGAATGTGGTGTCAGCGACACGTGGGGATATTCCATTGGCTGTCGGTGTTCGCTGAACAGGTGTCGGCGTTTGAGTTGTGACGACTAGGACGTCACGGCGAGTAGGAAGGCACGTGCCATTGACTGAAATTTCGGCTAAACGAAGGACGAAATTTTCTAGTTGAAATTCCGCCACGAAATTTGACTTCGGAAGACAGGAATCTGGGGGAGGATACCAGCAATTTAATTTCCCTCAAAACACTTTGTGTTCCCGCAGGGTCGTATATCAAATGATGAAGATGCTGCCCTTTTTCCCAAATTTCAAGGTTATTTATTTAAGGGTAGGGTTTGTATAAAGCGTCAACTTTAAATAATCAAAATAAGGCGCACCTCCGAAGCATGTTAAAAGAGCAGAGTCGTTGCCATAAACTCTTGGAACGGTTTGAAAATCTAAAAAGTTTAACAGATCTATGAACACATTAAAATCGTGAAACTGGGAGATGTAGATAATGTGTTACAAGATGCTATTGTTGGGAGTTGATATATATATTTTTTAATTATATGATTTTTTTTTTTGTTCAAAAAGATATAGGGACTTATGGTCTTATTGAAAATATAGCCTCTAATAAAGTAGAATGTAGAATTAAGATTTATATAATCGACCCAATTAATTAGAAAAAGACTAAAATGATAATAATATGAAATTTTTTATCTATTTAAGATTAGATGCTCTTAAGATCATTGCTCTAAATTATTCATTATGTAATTTGATACAAACCCCAAATTTGGATAAAACAAAACCCATTGGACCAAATTTTTTGTGGCGTACCTAGATACATCCCAAAAAACACCTCAGTATTCTCCCATACAATATGTTGCATGTAACCTCAACCGCTGGATGACTTAGATGATTTGTTTTCCTGCTAAAGTTCCCACTCACGGACTTGCCTTGTGGAAGGTTGAGTTTGCCAAGGATCAAAGCATATGGCATGTGTCTTGCATGCATTATGATATAAAAATTTGTGCAAATAACAACCATGCGATTAACGATCGAACAGTCTAAGCAGAGTGTTGTTGAAGTATGATGGCCCAACTGAGATTTTATCAGCTAATGAAGTAGAGTTGAAGGCTTTAAGGCAAATGTTGATTGAAGCAATGAACTTGGGGTAAAAAATAGTCGTAGAAAGTGACTGAATTAATGTGATTCAATGGAGAGTATGCACATATTTAGGTGCTAGTAAAGTAAGTTTGACATATTTAGGTGCTTGCAAAGTATGTTTTTTAATATATTTACTCAGAAAAGAATACAGAGGCGGATGTTCAGGCAAAGAGAGGAGTTGAGTGCAAAGATTTGCATATAGTTAGGGAATGAAATGATGTGTAAATGAGTGCATGTTAATGGTGAAATTGTAGTAACATGTTGTATATTGATCTGTATTGTGTGGCAATTCCAATAGCCCACAGTGAATGAGAAATTGTACAATGATTTTTTGTTAATACAATTTTACATGTTGCCTACGAATCCAACAGTTGATGGAGTGGTACTATACTGGGTGCGATGATCGATTACTTTCTCTTTTGGGTAGGCATTTCATGAATAATAAAAAATAGGAAAATTTAATAAATTGCACATGACATTTGAAGTATTTAACAATTATCCATTTTTTGATCTAATTTTAAATATACCAACATTTTAATTAAAATTGAAATGGATTATTAAATGATACATTAAAATGGGTTTGAAATTTGTGAACTTACACCTAAGATAAATGTTCAATAGTTCAACTTTTAGATGTATTAGTAAATTTCCCTATAAAATAAGAAGAAAAGTAGTTTCATCAACTACAACTATAGAACTACTTAAAAAATAAAGAAATTCCATCATGGCCATTACAAATTCAAGACTATAATGTTATTGCAGTCTTGAATTTCCGATTAAACATTGCGTTTTTTTCTTTTTTAATTAACTTAAGAAATATTGTTCCATGAGCTGGGTGACACATTTCTACATTTGTGTCCTATTGAATTGACGACGCAGAGAGTGAGGCACGCAACATAATTGGTACATCAGATATTTTTCTCAAACATATGCTATTTTGTATCCCGAGGTAAAATTTGCCTTGAGAATTTAGATGCACACTGATTTATATCAACAAAAGGCAAATATTGTCTTGTAAGAGCAATTTGTTTGCAGTTGAAAATAGAAGGATAAGCTCCTAACTTCTTTCGCAACACAAAGTTTTATATTTTCCCCACTTCACCAACATTTTCCAACACTCTGCTAATTCAAGCAGTCCTCAAAGCAACTCCTCAACTATTTGATCACTTATATCGACATATTGGTATGCCTTTCTTTGCTTTAAGTCTGTCAAAATGATCGTTTTCTCAAACATATGCTATTTTGTATCCCGAGGAGAAATTTGCCTTGAGAATTCAGATGCACACTGATTTATATCAACAAGAGGTAAATATTGTCTTGTAAGAGCAATTTGTTTGCACTTGAAAATAGAAGGATAAGCTCCTAATTTCTTTCGCAACACACTTTTATATTTTCCCCACTTCACCTACATTTTCCAACACTCTGCTACAAGCAGTCCTCAAAGCAACTCCTCAACTATTTGATCACTTTATATCGACATATTGGTATGCCATTATTCGCTTTAAGTCTGTCAAAATGATGGAGTTGCCCAAAGGACTGTGGGCATGCTTTTATGAATCTAACATGTTAGGAATCGGCCTTATATTTGAGCTGTCAGAAAGTGACGCTAGCAATGTTACATCTCAAGCTCGATTCCTATTGCTAAACTATCCAAAAAGTATGAATCCTAAATGTCAATAATATTACTAATCATGGAACTAACCATGAATCCCGAACCATGATACTAACCACAAATGTGTGGTATTTAATATCACTTACATATGAAATAGCGAAATGTTACCTCCACCGCTCATACTTGAGAATGGATGAAGATGGGCCATTCTTTAGCTTGCAATGTGGGCTTGAATGTTGAAAAAGCTCTCAAATTGTTCGTTAGACAAATGATAGGTTTTGAGAATGGCTTGGGGCCTTGGTGGTAGTATTGTCGAGCCTCATTGTGAGGTCTCACTCCATTCTCACCAAAGGGTAGTGGCCCAAATCCCTATGGATATACCAATTTTTTTACTTAAAAAAAAAAAAAGAAAAAAAAAGAGGTGTGTTCATGGACAAGCTTGTCATTAAGAGTCCATCCTTCCAAAATCCTTTTTGGAGATGGATATTGGACCCATGAGCTCCTCTATCTTGACCACCATAATCTATCAAAATATTGAATTATGAACCCTCACATTGGTTTTTTTTTGGGAAAATACTATTTAAGTGGTCAACATTCCTTACTAAATGATTAAGTAGAAAGACCCTAGCTAATATTAAAAGATTTATATTTAAATTTTCATTTCATTGTCTTTGTTCAAAGTTGGCAACCCAACACTAAATTAAAAAGGGGTAGTTTAGTAATTTAACGGACATTGAAAAAGTACGGATACTCCCTTCATTTGTTCAGGGCCTATTGAGGGAATTACTTACAATGGACCAGCCAGGGCTAGGCCCGCCTTGGCTGAGGCTCGGCCTTGTAACCCTGAAGGCTGGCTTAGGCTCGGCCAGTATTAGGCCAAAGAGGCCCTAGTCCAAGCTTGGGCCTACCCCTATCTAGGTTGGGCTGTACTAATAAAATTCAAAAAAAAAAAAAGACCTAGTTTCTATGCAACCAAGGCCGCATATGTAGAAACACGAGTTTTTAATAAATATATTTTTGAGATGAATTTTAAGGCTTAATTTTTAAGGACATGTAATATCTAAAATGTAAATCATGGATATAAAAAAAATAAATAATTTTTAGAAAATATAAATAATAATTCAAGTAAGAAACCATTTCGACATTTAGTTTCCATTGTTTTTAGACGGAAGGCCTACTTACATCCATATTTACGATGGATGCTTTTCACTTTCTGGACGGCAAATGTAAAAATGCGGTACAGTCTGTATGAAACAATTTTCCAAAAAATAATGGTAGGGCTTGGTTGGCCTTGTCTCGACCATGGCCCAAGCCCAACCCTCCAGCCACATTTTGTGGCCTAAAACCTAATTTGTCAGGATCAAGCTGACCAAGCTAAGTTGGGTGCCCCTTGCCACCGTTACGTTTGTGAAGGTGTCCTTTTAATGAGACAACTTAATAGGAACGTTTTGACCCCCTCAATAATTTCCTACGAATTATGGCTCCTTATATTAATATTTTTCTCCAACCTTATTTATTTTATTTTTGGGTTGTTTATTATAATTATTTAAAATCATCGATTTGCACTACTTTTTTTAACTCCAAAACTATAAATATCGTACGATAGTAGATCTGGCAGGGGCCTCATGTCCCGAATCCTTCATATGCCACGATGGACGCGCAAGTCTACCTACCCCGAAAATACTTGCCCCTTCAAAAAATATGGTGGTGCACTGAGGTGTCCTTCCTAGAACTTTCCCTCGTGCTCAATTGAAATTTTGAATAATAGAACACAGTGCATTTCGCGACCTTGGGGAGCGCCATGCCAGCTATGCGAAACGGCAACCGTTACCGCCGCAACACAATGCTAATCATCCGTGGACACGTGGCGGTATAGAAGATGTCCAGGTGGCGCATTGTGGGTCGTCCAATCAGGCGTGCTGGCCAGGCGAGCGCGAGCTTGGTTTGTGACACGTGGCGAAGCTTTTGACGCACGTGACATAAAGGCAGGGCGCCAGCTGGAGAGCACGGACAACGAGGCGGCCTTCTTGGTAGGCCGGCTAACCTTATCCTCTCACTTTCGAAAATATTTTTTTCTCTCTCCACTCTCGTTCTCTCTCTTCCTTTGTAATTGCCCCAAAACCCTAAGCACTCACTCCTCTCTCTCTCTCTCTCCTGCTACCACCTCTTTATCACCGCTCTCTCTCTCTCTCTAGCCTCTCGATCACTCTCCTGTGTCTCTCTCTCACATCTCTCGTCTCTCTTTCAATATTTTCCTCTCTCTAGAATGTAGATGTCTCTTCCAATATTTTCCATCGCCGCTAAAATTACCTTAATTTTCCCATTTCTCTATTATCCACTCCCGGGTGCCCTCTCTCTCTCTCTCTAAACTTCTCTTTATTTTTCCCATTTCTCCATTATCCACTCTCTCTCTAAGATTCCTTTTATTTCTGCCACTCCTCGTATTGGCTTTATGTTTTCGATTTCTCTGTTATCTCTCTCTAAATTTCCCCTATCCGTTTCTTCATTTCCTCTCTTGTCTTCTCTCTTTTTCTGTTCTGTCTTTCTTCCTCTCTCTATCTGCTGCCATTTGTCCGGCAACCTTAAGCATAGCTCCGCGTATTTCTGTTGCCGGATCTTGGCTTGACATACTCTGAAATCGGGTGAGTTTCCTGTAACGATCTCAGATCTAGGGTTTTGACCTGCTCTATGAAACTTTGTATAGCCTTTTCTCCTTCTTGAATGGGGCTTTGAGCTCTTCGTTTCTTTTTGTGCATATGCTCTCTTTTTTAATTCTGGATTTATTGTATCGTTTGATTTTTACACGTTTTTTATTTAGAAAATGGAGATCCTTGTTGCTAGGTTTTTTGATGGATCTCTCGGTGTTGGATCTTGATGTATTTACTCGAATAAATGGTGAAATTCTTTCTGTTGAGCTGTAATCGCCATGGCTTGAATGTGGATTTATTTGTTTATTTGTTATCCTCTATGTTCTTATTTTTTATGCTTTATTATGCATTTGGATTTATTTCGGTTGGAACTTTCTTTGTTGAATTTTGTGTTTGATCTTGGACGGATGAATTTGTGCTATTTTCTGGTAGTCTCGAATGGTGAGATCGTTTTTTGTTTCCTGAAACTGCTGGTTTGTTATGTCTTTTGACTAAATGTGATTTAGGGTTTCCCCTTACTTTTCCATGTGCAGGATGATCTGCATAATTAGTGCTAAAGATTTTTTGTCATATAGAACATAGGATCTTCACTATTGAAGATCGGCTGTGCATTCTTGTGGCCATCTCTTTTATAGGCCAGTGAGGCTCTGATCAAGGGGCCGTGCATCTGGTATACATATTATTGCTAGTGATGAGTTCCTGTGATTTTTCTGAGAATTGTAAGACACATGTTAATTTGTAATTCATTTGTTGGCAAGGAGGTTTTTAGGTTTCCAAATAATGGAATAGCCATTATATGAAATGGCCATTATTAAATCCTGTTTATCGGTGTGTGTTGGTTTCTTTGCGTTGCTGATATAAGAGAAATAACCATTGCAGTCTCATCTTGTTCTGTTTGAATCCTCAGGTTTACACGGTCAAAGGCCACCTTCCTCTTGTTGAATCCATTAGGTTTGGCAAAGCTGGGAAATAATTTGATTAACTCACTTAGTCACTTCAAAGATGACGTCTCGTTCATATACTAATCTGTTAGACCTTGCGACTGGGAATTTCCCTGCGCCAACCCGATCTGGCAAGCGCCTTCCTAGAGTAATGACAGTGCCTGGAGTTATCTCTGAACTTGATGATGACAATGCAAATAGTGTATCATCTGATGTCCCCTCTTCAGTTAGCCAAGAACGTATAATAATTGTGGCCAACCAGCTGCCCTTGCGTGCTCGAAGGAGGCCTGATAATAGGGGCTGGATTTTCAGTTGGGATGATGATTCATTGCTTTTACAGCTCAAAGATGGGCTACCTGATGAGCTTGATGTTATCTATATTGGTTCTCTAAAAGTTGAGGTTGATCTCAATGAACAAGAAGAAGTTGCCCAAATTCTTCTTGAGAAGTTCAAATGTGTCCCGGCTTTTCTCTCTCCTGAACTTTTGATCAAGTTCTATCATGGGTTCTGCAAACAGCATCTATGGCCCTTGTTCCACTATATGCTTCCTCTATCGCCCCATCATGGTAACCGATTTGACCGATCGCTATGGCAAGCTTATGTTTCTGCAAACAAAATTTTTGCTGATAAAGTAATGGAGGTTCTTAATCCTGAAGATGACTTTGTTTGGGTTCACGACTACCATTTGATGGTGTTGCCCAATTTCTTGAGGCGAAGATTCAATCGGTTGAAGATGGGCTTCTTCCTTCATAGCCCATTCCCTTCATCCGAGATTTATCGAACTCTTCCTGTGAGAGATGAGATCCTTAGGTCACTTTTGAACACAGACTTGATTGGGTTTCATACTTTCGATTATGCTCGCCATTTTCTCTCTTGTTGTAGCAGAATGTTGGGCTTGGAGTACCAATCAAAGCGTGGTTACATTGGTTTGGACTATTATGGCAGGACAGTTGGCATCAAGATCTTGCCCCTTGGAATACACATGGGCCAGTTGCAATCGCTATTGAATCTGGCTGACAAGGAATGGCGGGTCAACGAGCTACTAGAGCAGTTCAAAGGTAAAACGGTAGTGTTGGGGGTCGATGATCTTGATATTTTTAAAGGAATTAATCTCAAACTTTTGGCAATGGAACAGTTGCTTGTGCAACATGCTAGTCGGCGAGGGAAAGTAGTTTTGGTTCAGATTATGAACCCAGCAAGGGGAATCGGAAGAGATGTAGAGGACCTACAAGCTGAGATAATAGCTACATCTGATAGGATCAATGAAGCTTTTGGCTCTCCTGGTTACGAACCTGTGGTCTTGATAGACAGAGCTGTTCCCCTTAATGAGAGGATAGCTTATTACACAGTTGCTGAATGTGTAGCCGTCACGGCAGTGAGAGATGGGCTTAACCTCACTCCTTACGAATACATTGTTTGTAGACAAGGTGGTAACTTTGTGAATCCTAGTGATGGAACTCCCAAGAAGAGTATGTTGGTGGTCTCCGAATTTATTGGGTGTTCCCCTTCTCTAAGTGGAGCCATAAGGGTGAATCCTTGGAATGTTGATGCAGTTGCTGAGGCTATAAATGTTGCTCTCGCCACGAGTGAGGCTGAGAAGCAGCTGAGGCATGAGAAGCATTATAGGTATGTGAGCACCCATGATGTTGCTTATTGGGCTCGTAGCTTCATGCAAGATATGGAGAGAATTTGCAAGGATCACTCCAGAAGGAGGTATTGGGGAATTGGGTTCGGGTTTGGATTTAAGGTTGTTGCTCTTGACCCTTATTTTAGGAAACTCTCTATTGAACATATAGTGTCAGCTTATAAGAGGACCAAGAGCAGGGCTATACTATTGGACTATGATGGTACTGTGATGCCTCGGACTTCAATCAGTAAGGCTCCTAGTGCAGAGGTGATATCAATACTCAATACTCTTTGTGGGGATCCGAAGAACGTAGTCTTTATTGTGAGCGGTAGAGGGAGGGATCCCTTGAGCAGCTGGTTTGCTCCTTGTGAGAAGCTTGGGCTTTCAGCTGAGCATGGTTACTTCTTGAGGTATATCCTCCTTTTTTGAAATATCGGCCTATCAAACTCAGTAAAACAAAAAGAAATAAAATATCAGACTTTCGGCTATGAAAGAGTAGCAGAATTTTATAGGAATGTGCATTTAATCTGATGAAACTTGTAAACAAAGAAATCTTACTTGGCTTATTTCAGAGGAAGATCTTTTTTTTTTTTTAACTGTAAACTCTTGAATAATTGGAACTAGTGTTTGAAAGATCATGTGTTCAACTTCGGACTTACCTGAGTTGGACCAAATTGAGAGAGTGGTGATTCTGGGCCAAAGAAACCTGAAGTTGCCCCCTTCTCGAGGTCTTTCAGTAATTTGGTTTTATATTTCTTCTTGTTAAAAATTCCCTGTCCAACTTGGGACTAGCTCATGTCGGACTGGTGGAAACTCAAGCTCGGACCTCTGGTGAGTTCGAGTCCGATCTGACTTTTTGCTATTGGAACTCCTGTTTTGTTAATGATGTTTGAATTATTATTGTTTTTTGTAGTTGCCAGACAAATAATGGCCTTTTCAGTTTTTAAAGTATTTAAGATGGAGGGAGAATTGTAGCACATTGTGGTGGTGTATATTCTCTTTAGGAAATTGAGGTTACAACTTGTGCTTTCTTGACATGCTTATTAGTCCCATTGTCGTCATTAAAAAACTGCCTAAGCTGACAGTGATAATTCTCCAATATACCCTCACACTGTAATTCCATCATTTTGTATTTTCAGGGTATGTTGGTCATTTGTTAAAAAAAATCCAAGAAATGCTTTTCAACTGCTCACAAAGATGTGTCAACATGGGCATTTTGGTTGCCAAGAACCTCTTCTTCTTCTTCTTTTGTGTGTGTGTATGCATGTGCGTGTGCATGTGCGTGCATTGCATTTCCATAGTTTTATTTTTATCATCTCATGTATGGCTTTATCATCTCATGTATGGCTACTGTGTATATAAGGTGGAAGAGAGATGAGCAATGGGAGACATTTGATCACACGTTGGACCTGGCATGGATGCGAATAGCGGAGCCGGTTATGAAGCTCTACACTGAGACCACCGATGGCTCCTCCATCGAAACCAAGGAGAGTGCGTTGGTGTGGCATCACCAAGATGCAGACCCTGACTTTGGCTCTTGCCAGGCCAAGGAGCTACTCGACCACCTTGAGAGTGTTCTGGCAAATGAACCAGTTGCTGTGAAGAGTGGCCATCACATTGTTGAAGTGAAACCACAGGTGAGATCTCCATGATGCACCTCTTTCAGTATTTGGTTTAATGGTCTTGGGCATAATTTTTCTTTTTCCTCTTCAAGTTTATTGTTGATGGATGATGTTGCTGCACGATCTTGTTCTTCTACTATGTTTTGTTTGGAGAAGCGTCTTGTAGCAAAGGGTTTTGAAAATGCTTTTTCCTCTATCTCATATTTGTGGGAGATAGTTTCTGCATTTAACTTACGATTCTTCATTCCCCCACAGTTTTCTGTGTTTTCCTTTGTTCTGCTCTCATGTCCAAATATTTGCCATACAGAATTATACATATCGTTGGATGACAGTTAAGCGTAACATGGTTAGCCTACTTTATCTAAAATCAATACATTCTGCATGATATTACTTCAGCTGTTTCATATGTTTCTTATGCCCTGTAGTCTGTATAATAATATTATTTGGTTAGTTTGGTGCACTGATCCAAAACTTTGCATATTGGGAATCAAAATCGGCAATGGTTCCTATGCCTCTTTCCCAGTCTTTCATGTTTCCCATGCTTATTATATATGTCATAGCTCCCATGGCTATAATGTCTATTAGGGATCCCATGCCTATCGTAGCTCATCATACGTGATCCTCATAATCCCTTCTCTTTGATTCAATCCTGTAAGCAGTGCTTACGCAGTCACGCTTGATGTTGCTGCATAATCTTGTTCTTCCACTATTTTGGTTGCAGAAGTTCTTTTGAAAAGGGCTTTGAAATTTATTTGATCCTGTTTTTATTTGTTCTTTCCTCATATGTCCACCTCTCTTACGTACAGACTATACATTTGGGGCATGTTTGGATGACTCTTAATTTGATCGTGGTTAGCCTATTTTATCTAAGATTTATGCATTCTGCATTATATTACTTTGTTAGCTGTTTGGTAGGTTTCCCTATGTTCCGTGTAATGATATTTTATTTCTTTAGTGTTTGGTACATTGATCCCAATATTCAAAAATGTGGATCGGCGGCCTAGGCGTTTTGGGTGCCTGCATGCCTTAGGGAGTTTTTAGTGCAATTTTAGAGCCCCAAACTCCTCGTGAAATAGACGAAAATGTAATTGTACAATCACATAACAGATTTATGGATACAAGTCTCAAATGAGGAAAATTCAAGTAATAAAGAAAAAAATCATTCTTTTAACTACAAACATGTAAATATATCGTAAAAGAAAAGTAAAAAGTAAAAGAAATAACACATGATTCATATCATAACATAATATGCTGTAGCAAAATAAAATCAAAACCCTATTTCAAATATAATAATACTTTTAAAATATCAAAATTAAATTGATGTTGGTGTAAGCCTCGTCTGTTGGGTGGCCAAAAGTTCTCAAAATCAACTAGTAGAAGCTCCAAATGTATTCATGAACTATTGCCTTTGTTTTGGGAAGAAATCGAAAAAGTAAAAAAATTATCGATCTTTCGGTAGGTGGTTTTTGGTTTGGTTTCTCACACTCTAAAGGCCACAATTTTTGTTTTGGGAGTTTAGAATCCCCCCAAAAGCCTTGTGTGCCTTTTTAGGGGGGAAATTACATTTTTGACCCTTCCCTTGTATTCTTCCCCTTTCAGCAACCACCTACCATTGTATCAATTTTAAGTATGTTTGAGAACAACATACTTGTGCTCATGATGTGGAGACTATTCTGATTATTTGTTGCATTGCTTTTTTGTCCATTGAACAAGTGGGAATTTTGATGATTATCTATTGTAATGTGTTAGTGGGCACGTGTTGCATGAACTTGTATTCTTATTCTTTTATCTGTTATGTTTGACAGGCCAATTGGACAATGTCCATATTAACTTTACCTATGCCTATATTTGAGCTACCATTGCACATTTTAATTATTATTATTATTATTATTATTAGTATTCCCATTGAATGAGTATAGGTGAGATGAGGATATTGAGATGGATGAGTGACTACATAAGAAGGGATAGAATTCGAAATGAATACATTCCGGAGAATTTAGGTGTTGCACCAATAGGCAACAAGATGAGAAAGTAGACTTAAGTATATTGGCAATGTGTGGCGCAGACCTAGTACCACACCTATTAGGAGGTGCAAGTTAGTTCAAGTGGAAGGCTCAAAAAGGGCAAAAGGTGGGTTTAAAAAGAACATGGCTGAAAGTAGTAAGAAAAGATATGGGTCATTGAGGGTATGGCCCTTGATAGAACATAATGGCAGATCAGGATTCATGTAGTAAACCCCAATTAGCTGGGAAAAAGCGATGATGATGATGATTATTATTATTATTATTGTTGTTGTTGTTGTTGTTGTTGTTATCATCTTTAATACTTGTTTTGTGAAGGATTGTTTTTGAAATTTATAGACCTTATATTCTAGTTTTAACATGCTTTAGAATACATCCTAGCACATGGGTGTAGTTCAAAGAGAAAATGTACCAGAGGCCCCTGGCTTATAGTATATTGTATGCCAGGGTGCACCCCTCTCCTGTCCATGTCATGGATTGTGTAGTTATTGACCCTCACCTGTGAACGGTTAATTTCCACTGCTTGTCATTTGGAACCAGTGGTATACCGTGATTGATTAGTTAATGATATACCATACATGACAGGTGTAGCTTTCTAATGTACTCAATGTTCGAAAATTCGGCCTCTCGACCGCCTAGGTGAATAAGTTTTAAAAATGCCTACGCGTAATCTGGGCTGGGCATTATGCGTTTTTTCTTTCGGGTGCTTGCCTAGGCAGTCAAGGCGCCACCTAGGCGCTATTGTTTGGGTGCCTGCCTAGGTGTCGCCCCATGACAACTTGTGGGCGACGGAAAAAAAACCTCGAGTGAGGGTAAAAATTGTAATTTTTTCCCCTAAAAAGGGGGGAAAAAGGATTTTAGGGGGGTATTCTAGACCCCCAATAGAAAATCTATGGCTTTTAGGGTGAGAAAACCGCTCAAAAACCACTCTTTTGTGATTTATCGAAAGGTCGATAAATATTTTATTTTTTCGATTTCTTCTCAAAACAAAGGCAATAGTTCGTGGGTGGATTTGGAGCTTTTAGTAGTTGATTTTGAGAACTTTTGGCAACCCAATAGACAAGGTTTGCACTGACATCGATTTGATTTTGATATTTTAAAGTATTATCATATTTGAAAGAGGGTGGTGATTTTATTTTGCTACAACATATTATATTATGAATCATGTGTTTTTTCTTTTACTTTTTTTTCCTTTTACGATATTTACATCTTTGTAGTTAAAAGATCGATTTTTTTGGTTATTTATTGATTTTTCTCTCACTTGGACGATGAAATTGAGCGTATATAGTATTCTAGTATGAATAATTGATTCCGTTTATGATAATGTGTCTTATTTTGATAAAAATAATAAAATCTAGATTTTTTGAGGTTTCTTTATCTCTAAAATGGGTTTTTGTGGATTTAGGTTTTAAATGAACTTAAAACCCATCCTCAAAAGCTTTTATTTATTTTAAAAACCCAATAGAATAGAAAAATAAACTCATTTCCACACTTAGGTGGGGCGCCACCTAGGCCTCTGGGCAATGCGTCTAGGCTTTCTGGTTCACTTAGGTGCCGCCCAGGCACTGGGTGGTCTGCTTTTTTGAACAATGTACCAAAGTATCCTTGGTGTTGAAAATTATATCACCGTAGTAGCTCAAGTTTTAAATCATTATTACAGGACTTGCTTTGACTCTGTGAAATAGTTGGAAGATCTAATGTCTTTAACAAATTTGTTTGGATAGCCCTCAATTATCTCCATAAAGTCACTTATCCAAACAAAGTCATATTTGTGGTTTTTTACGTATATTATACAAACCTGAACTTATACTTGTTTTCTGTTGATCTTTTCATATTATTATTGCTCTTATTTTTAGGTGTGGTCATCTGCCCCAGGTGAATTTCCCTAAAATGATCATATATATGCATTACTCAAATCTCATTTTTTTGCGTTTTCATTCATTTTCTCGCTTTTTTTGAACAATGTACCAAAGTATCCCTGGTGTTGAAAATTATATCTCCGTAGTAGCTCAAGTTTTAAATCATTATTACAGGACTTGCTTTGACTCTGTGAAATAGTTGGAAGATCTAATGTCTTTAACAAATTTGTTTGGATAGCCCTCAATTATCTCCATAAAGTCACTTACATTCATCCAAACAAAGTCATATTTGTGGTCTTTTACGTATATTATACAAACCTGAACTTATACTTGTTTTCTGTTGATCTTTTCATATTATTATTGCTCTTATTTTTACGTGTGGTCATCTGCCTCAGGTGAATTTCCCTAAAATGATCATATATATGCATTACTCAAATCTCATTTTTTTGTGTTTTCATTCATTTTCTTGCTTTTTTGAACAATGTACCAAAGTATCCCTGGTTTTGAAAGTTAAATCTCCGTAGTAGCTCAAGTTTTAAATCATTATTACAGGACTTGATTTGACTCTATGAAATAGTTAAGATCTAATTTCTTTAACAGATTTGTTTGGATAGCCCTCAATTATCTCCATAAAGTCACTTACATTCATCCAAACAAAGTCATATTTGTGGTCTTTTACATATATTATACAAACCTGAACTTATACTTGTTTTCTGTTGATCTTTTCATATTACTATTGCTCTTATTTTTTAGGTGTGGTCATCTGCCCTAGGTGAATTTCCCTAAAATGATCATGTATATGCACAACTCAAATCTCATTTTTTTGCGTTTTCATTCATTTTCTCTTTGGATCGGTAAGAAGATTGTTATTTTCTCCTGAAGTGATTTGTATTTTTGCAAACCCCAATACATAATTTTGTGTTCTCTTTTGACTGGTAAATAAAAGGTTGCTTTCTTTTGTTCATTTTCAAAAGTTTTCTGGGCAGCTGATTTCTTGGTAAACAATGTTCTGACTATTGTTGATATTGCTTTGATCTAGGGTGTGAGCAAAGGCATTGTGGTAGAGAAGCTTCTATCTGCCATGGCTGAAAAGGGCAGCATGCCAGACTTTGTCTTGTGCATAGGCGATGATCGATCTGATGAGGACATGTTTGAGGCAATCAGGGGCAATGGTGCCTCATTGGGGTCTTCGGGAAATCTCTCTCCTCTTAACAGAGAGGTCTTTGCATGCACAGTGGGTCAGAAACCGAGCAAGGCCAGGTATTACTTGGACGATCCCCAGGAGGTCATAACGATGCTTCAATCCCTTGCTGATGTTACAATGGATTAAACCACTGAAAAGCCCAAGAGACACTAGATTCCACCCACTCTAAAGGAAATGACGTCTCTCCAAAACCCTAAAAGATGTAAGTCTATATACACTGGAGAAAACAAGTGAAATTGGTCATTGAGAAGGAAGATCTCACCATATATCTTGAAGGACTTGGAATACATGGAGTCTTGATCACCTCAACAACAGGAGAAAAAGGAGAAAAAGGAGGAAAATTATGTTTGGGATGTTGCTGAATTACATGGGGAAATTTGATGGTTAAGAAAATTTGGAATGAAAATGCTGTTCAAAGTTTTGGTTAAGATGCCTAGAGGACTGAGGGAGACATGTTTCATGTTAGGCCTATGTTTAAGAAATTCTCATTGGATTTAATTGAGGGACGGTGCACTTGTCCGATGAGATAGGGCCTCTATGAAATACTGTTCAAGATTATTTTCAAAGAAATCAGGAATAATGGAATTAAATTCTTTTGCGGACTTCATGGTGGAAATGGGTTGCTTAGTTGGTGGATGAATTAGTGTTTCAATGAAAAACTTGTCCCTTGGAGAATTGCAGGCTGCTAATGAGGCATTATTGACAATTCACTGGGTATGCATTATACTACTTTTGTTTTTTTCCCAATGGCGCATCGTATTGAGATCTATCAGCAAGCAATCTGTCCCTGTCAAGTTCATGACCTTTTCCTCTTTTTCTCTTATTCTTTTTTTTCTCTTTGCTCTTTTGGAAGTTTTGTCTCGTGAAGTATGATTTTTACATGTGTCAATTCGATTTTGTAAATAGATTTTGAATACCTTCTCCAATTACAATAATTCAACTGTGAATCCGGGTGTTTCTTCAATTGCAGATTTCTATTGGGAATCATGGCTCCTATAAATGCAATGTATGCATGGACTTATTGTTCCTCTATCATGGATGCATGTGAATATGCACATCTTTATGCTTTCTATTTTGCTGATTGAAATGCTTCCATTAATCCAATATAATGGGGTCTTATATATGCCCATAAAAATTTGATATTCCTAGATGAATCTACGGAAGATTTTGGATGAAAGTTTTGGAGATTACTGATATTTCTAAATGCAATTATCAGTGTTTTAATCACATAAAAAACTGAAGCACTTATTAAGTACATGCATTTATAATTTATGGAGGGCTATGAACACCCATTGGCTGCCATTCACACCGTTGTGTACTGTGGTGCCCCTTCACACCTTTGTGCACTATGGTATATCTGTATGTTTTCGGTTTACATGAATGCTTGTGCGTGCGGGCGCATGCACACAGACTATGGTATGTATTCTTGATTATTGGTATGCATATTACCCAGGATTTTTATGTCTATTGATGCATCTCTGTCTGTGTGCATGAATGCATACATTATGTGTGCATCAGTGGATTGCATGCCCAGGAACATGCATGTGAAGGGGCAGAGTTTCATATGCAGTATGTGCTCGTGCACATGTGTATGGTTTGTGCATAAGTGAAGATCATGCATATGTATCGAGGCATTTGATCACTCTTGGTAAGTGATGTTCCCAAGGGTTTACATGCACCAGGTGCATCTCCACCGTAGATGACTAAATTGTATTATTCTGAAGTCCAAACAGTTAATCTGACCGAAAAGCTTATCCATTATCCATTTTATTTTGTGGCGAACATTAAATTCTCTGCATTCATTCAGTAGAGAGCTTAAGCATTTTGGCTATTTCTTATATGAATAGAGCAAACTGAACTCTTACTCCATCTCTAATCCATGGACCGTACACCCACTTTAGTGGGGGATCTTGCATGTAATTTTGAGTTTTCTTAGAATTCAGTGTAGGTAATATGTTAAAATTGAACGGGACAAAAGATGTACTGTTCTTGATTCATCTGTTCGATTCGATCTGTTCTTTCACCACTAGGGGTTGAACTGTTCTTAATAGTTAACGATTGCACAGCTATTTGGTCTTGTCTGCATGTAATTAATTAAGCCATTAGTTAAATGGGGGAGTTTGCATTCGATGACTATCCATCCACCCATCTAAAATTCATTTTGGAGATGGCTTGACAATCCATATCATCTGGACCTTCTCGATTATCAATCTGGAAAATGGTCTTTTACCTTGTTTTTGGTAGTTCTCACATATCTGCATTAGTTTTTGGAGCTCTGAATCCATGAAAAAATGGACTCCCAAAGATTTGGCATGTATATTTTGAGTCCCAACTCCAACGAAAACAAGGGAAAAAAATGAATTTTGAGGCTTGTAACTATTCCATGTTATACGTTTATTAGTTAATTCTTTATTTATTTGGGATAGTTTCTTAAATCTACAAACATCCGCATTGTGTTTGGAGCTTTAATGATACTTTTTTCTCAAAAACATGTCTGTATTGGTCCATACGGATGGGTTCTTAGACCATGTTTTTTTTTCCTTCTAAACTTCTAATTGAGCCCTCAATTTGCAATAAATGTCAATAAATGATGAAATAAATGAAACCTTCGTTAACTAAAAGATGAGACTGAGCTGGACTAATGCTTTAATTTACTTTCTGACCGATTTTTTTGGGAAATTACATAAATATCCGTCTTGATTTCTTACAATTTTTTTTAAAAAAGTTGAAACTATCTATTTTTGGTTTTTCAAAAACTAAAATCAGGTTAATTTTGATATTTGAAAAATTAAAAATTTTAAATTTTTCAGTTTTTCAAAAATTGAATTTTTTTCTCTGTTGTGAGTCATATGCGTGTTCTCTCTTTCCCTCTCTCTAAACGTTCCCTCTGAAAATTGGCCTAATTTAAAATGGGTAGTTTCGTATTTTATTTTTTATTTTATAAAAATATTATAAAGTCTAAAAACTAAACATATTAATAATAATCGAAAATTCGAAAGTATTTGATATTTTGGTAATAAGAAAAACTAAAATAGATATTTACGTAATTTTTCTTTTTTTGTTCTTAAGAGAATTTAGGGCCCCTTTTCAAATTATTCATAATTCCAATTAAATTTTGGCTTTTACTGATTTAAAGTTAGTAACTTCTAATATTTCAAATTCAAATTCTAACATTGGAAATGTTTTAAAAGATCAAAATGACCTTTTAAAATGTCATGTTTGACCATGCAAGGGTATTTTATGGTAAAATTTTTAGAGTACTAAATTCTAAATTTATTGTTAG